AAATGCTGTTTCTTGACCAAGATTTTGAGAAAACAGCCTTTTTGTGAAACGCGCATTTTCAAGCAGAAAAGTGGGTTTTTTTTGTCTTTACTGATATTTTACAATGTATGACAGTTTCTTACTATGACACAAAACAGAAAAAATACTTTGAATTGTATTTTTTATGTATAATGTGTACACACAATACACTCAAAGGATTGTCTTATGTACATATAAAATATTCAACTTGTATACAATAAAAACACTTTGTACACAACACAAATATACAGTAAAAATAACACTTTCTGAACACTTTGTGAAACAATTTTACTTTAGTATATAAAGAATAGTAATTAGGTGACCCCACACTCTGCTGAAGTGTGGGGTGGAATCTACATTTCCAGATTCGTTTTTTTTTTACAAACCCAGTGAGAAATGTCAAACCAAAAAAGGTTTTTAGCTGCTAGACTGTCCCTGGCTTCCATGCATTTTCTCTGCTGAATGGGAGACGCTGTGTGTGTGCACTGAAATATTGTGCTGCATACAGCTTTGTCTGTTCAACACAAGATCCAGGATCCAGAAGTTCATCAGTTATGAAGAGCTGCAGAAGTCAGCTGCTGATCCAAATCAAGCTCTGCTGCAGCATTTTGGGGTCCTGGGGTCAACAATCTACAACACAAAGGAAAATATAAAATCACCATACATTTTCACATTATAACAAGTGTTTTGGCTTCAGCAGCTATGACATTGAGATAAAAAAAACTCTTCAATATTCGCTAAAAACGCTACTTTATGTTTATTTTTTACTATATGTGGCAGTATGCCCAGGAGGCGGGCTATCTATCGAGGGCCGGGGTTCTCATTGGTCCCTAGCGCTGGCCGGCGACCCATAAAAGTGTCTTGCCTTTGCTGCCTCCCCCTTTGACCTCACGTAGCCGCTCGCAACGCTGCACGTCATTTCCGTGTTCCTCTGCCTTACGGCCGGTAAGCATGGCGCCGCTCCTCAATGTATTTCAAATGTAGCCTTTAGTTGCTAATGGGGGACTGTATTCTAGCACGGACAGTGGCGCAGGTACACGCGGACCCACGTATCCCCTTACGCTGTAATCGGTAAGGCTACTCTCCCCTTTTTGAGCTCTGTGGTCTGCTTAGCATGTTGACTTAGCTTCTGTCGTTGCTAGGCAACGGGTGTAGCTCTCTGGCTGCGCCTCTCCCTCTTGGAAGAGCTGCACTTCAGCTTAAAGTGGTAAGCAATGTCTGGTTGCGGTGTAGGAGCACCACATTTCACAGTAATGAGCCTCCCCCCCTTTCCTTCAGATGCTGCTGTTTTGCCCTTATGTTGCTTGCTACTGAAAGTTTAATTTTGGTCCGCTATTGCTCGTTTCGTGCCTGTCTCGTCTGCCGGAGGGAGGACAGCCGTCTGGGGTCAGCGGCGTCCTCACTGTCGTCAGCCACGTCTTGGTGCCCTCCGGCACGCATGTGGCCGTAACTCGTCGGGTGTTTTTCCCCTTGTTGCCTGCCAGTGACTACCCTGGAACACAGGCTGTATCCGAATGTCCACACTATACCCTATATAGTGCACTATATAGTGGTCACGCCATTTTGTAGGGGTGTCCGAATGTCCAGAGAGAAAAAGTAGTGCACTGGAATTTTCCCACAATGCATCTCGAAAATGTAGTGAGCAGCGATGGTCACTAGACGGAAGTAAAATGGCGGAGGCAGCGAGAGACGTGTTGGAACAGGAGCGGGTCGCGGCTAAAAATTGTGTGCAGCTGTCCGAATCGCCAACAGAATGAGTGCACTGACTCACTCACTCAGTCGCTATATAGTCCCGAACTATATAGTGAGTGAGTGAATAGGGTATAGTGTTTATGCACATTCGGATACAGCCACAGACTTTATGGAGTGAGTACAGACACGATGTATTCGGCGAAAGCAAGAGATTAACTTTTTCCTCGGGAACCATGTGCGACTCTGTTCTTGGGCCATTGCTGTTTGCGCTTTACATAAATGATCTCCCTTTGATGTGCGGTGACGTAGACATACAGATGTATGCAGACGATACTGTAGTTTACGTGCATGGAAGTGATGCAACCAGTGTAGCCAATAAACTAACCACTGTCATGGGAAACATCTCAAACTGTCTTTCCTCTGCCTCGCTCACACTTAATGTAAATAAAACCGTAGCAATGTATTTTACCAAAACTCAAAAACTGAAGTCCTCCTTCCCATACATTTATGTAAACCAGAGTCAAATAAAAGTAGTGAAGGAATTTAAATATCTAGGCCTTGTTTTGGATTCAACGTTTAGTTTTAAAAAACATGTTAAGAAAATTGGCAACACAGTAAAATACAGTTTGTCTGTTTTTAAACATATTAGGAATACACTGACTCATGATGCGGCAAAAATGTATTTGGAGGCAATGATAAATCCACATATTAATTACTGTATTTCTTGTTGGTCACAGACAAGTGACACAACAATAAAACCTCTAAAATCTCTATATAATCAAGCTATTAAAGTGCTAGACAAAAAGCCATTGAGATACCATCACTGTCTGATCCTTAGAAAATACAGCATGTTTAACTTTGATAATTTAATTGTGTACGCAAATGTGCGATTAGTTTTTAAAATGTTGAATAATACTGCACCTCCACCGCTGAAAACATTTGTCCAGCTCTGTTCTGAGCAGATGACTAGGAGCTCCAGGTCCACAAGTCGTAATGACTGTAGACTGCCTAAACGTAGCTCAGCCTTTGCGCAGACATCCTTCTCATTCAAAGGCATCAAAGAATGGAACAAACTCCCACAGAGTCTGAAACTTTCCTTAGACCTGAAAGATTTCTCTCGTAATACAAAAAAAGTGCTGTTGGTGAACCAGTCATGTCAGCACTGATAATTGTAAATGTAAATATGACCGTTAGTGATGTTTTATGTAGTAATTTTAGCATGAATTTATGTGGACTGATGGATGTAACGGGTGAATGTATGAATGAATATTTGTATTTGAGTGGTTAAATATATTTTATATAGTACATGTTGTGACTCACCTGCTCAGGGACTGCAGATGGAAACTAGCTCAAGCTAAATCTGGTGCAAAGCATCTTTAATTAATGTATTTGCACATTGTCCCTGTTGAAATAAATTAATAAACTAAACTAATCAGAGAGCCGCACGGAGCGGTCACGGGGACACAAGACCCTCGAAAACAGCCCAAACAGGAGCTAAACTAGGACTAAACCAGGATTAAACCAGGACTAACAACGGGGGACAGTGTGGACATATTCCTCCAGCCTCTTTCCCCGTGACTGTAAACAAGGCTGCTAAGGTTGGTTAGCCCACACGACAAATGTACTTATTTAGGTTTTTTTTTTAAAACAATCAACATATATCGTTATCGACCGATATGAATTACTTACTGTATATTGTGATATATTTTTCAGCCATATCGCCCAGCCCTAAGGCTCAAACAGGAATTAAACTGTGAGGATACTGGGCATTTTTGGGACACAGCAGTGCTCTTTGATTGTGCTGTCATTTTGCTTTTATAAAGTTTACTAATCTCTCTGAGTGGCCACAATCAAAGCTATTCCTCAGAGAGAAAGCACAGCGACACTTTTGGGTCAGTCCCACGGCTGAATGTATCAATCTAATTACTAAAAAAACGTCGCTACAACTCACCACAATGCCATAGCGATAGCATAGACTGGAAGTAAACGAGCCGTTCTTTGTTTACAGGAAATGACGTCACGCCTCCCGTGCATAGAGCGAGTTGGAAAACTTTGTCTATGAGCACTTTCCTATTGGGTTCATTGAGCTAGCGGGTTACAATTGTCCATCTATATTCTGTCTATGGATGGAACATGAAGAAAAGAGAGAAAAATAGAATTTTGCAGAATCCGTCTCCTGATGGTTCAACTTCAGGCCTGCGCAGAAGACTTCACTGGACACGATATACATTTGAAAACGTTTTTATTTGCAGACGGTGAAGACTCAGAGACAGCGGTCTGTGTGAAGATGAGGCCTGTGACGAGGATCAAGAGAAAGTCAGTATATTCTTTATTTACGTAGCGCGTATCCCAGAGCAGCATCACACAAAGCAAATGTAGTTTGATTGTCCAGAAACATTAACCCCGCCCCCTGTGTGGCGCCATGGCGATTAGTGGTGGGGGGAAAAAATCTAAAATCTATTTTGTTAAGTGTCAATATATTTTGCGCGCATAATGCAGTCGAGCAAAGTTCTCCAATATTTAATAAAAATCATTATCTATTTCACTTTTATGTTTTTTCTGAGTGTACTCTGTTAATTTACATCTGAGGTTTATGTTCCTTTATGATGTCTGCTTTTTGTTACTCTAGTCTATTGTATTCAAATAATTTTAAGCTGGGAGCTTATCATTCATTGTGAGAGGTCACCAGAGAATGATTATACATTTTATAATTTTGTATTTATTAATTATTATCCTGTGTGTTCAAGGATAACGTTAACAGACTTAAGTTAATGTGCAAACCCTAATAAATGGGACATTTGAGGTGAACATTGTTATTTTCCTCAATTGCAATATGTCGCTGAGTTGAATCGCAATACTTGATGTATCTCATAATGTTGAGAATTTTATTTGATCGCAATACCATCAAATCGTCACATTTGAAAGTAGGCGTGGCTCTGTATCTGTTTCTCCAGCTCCTCCATCACAGGTAGAGTTACATGTCTCTACATAACTGGCCGTGTCTCTCAGATGTGGGCATGCCCCTGATAAGTGGGCGTGTCTTTCAGATGTTGGTGTGTCTCTCATAACTGGGTGTGTCTTTCAGATGTGGGTGTGTCGCTCATAAGTGGGCGTGTCTTTCAGATGTGGGCGTGTCTCTCATAAGTGGGCGTATCTTTCAGATGTGGGCGTGTCGCTCATAAGTGGGCGTGTCTTTCAGATGTGGGCGTGTCTCTCATAACTGGGTGTGTCTTTCAGATGTGGGCGTGTCGCTCATAAGTGGGCGTGTCTTTCAGATGTGGGCGTGTCTCTCATAAGTGGGCGGGGCTCTGTATCCGCCTCGTCAGCTCGTCCATCACCGGCAGAGGACCTTGGTACATGTTGGTCTTGATGAGCCTCAGTTTGGCCTGGTACTCGGCGGGTAACCCGTTCTGAAGCGCGCCCATCACCATCACCTGGAGAGAGAGACACAACTGGAAGATCATTGTACAAACTATGGCCCCGCCCCGTACAACGCTAACGCAAACTATAATTCTGTGCACTAACACTAACTCGCCACTAACCCCATCTCTGCACTAAGGCTATCGCTGACCTAATTCTATCTCTGCGCTAACACTTAATCTGTGCTAACGCTTAATCTGTGCTAGTGGACATATGTGTGAATGCTAACTCTGTGCTAATGCTAACTACGCGCTATCAGCTTAAACGTTAAACACAAGGCAGGTAAAGAGAGGAGGAGGATTTTTTTTCTTCAGACTTGACCAAAATGAGGAAACACATTTTGCATGGACTTAATCTTAAAAAAATATATCTAAAAAATTCTGTGGCGAGTGAATGTTTTTGTTTTGTAGTTTCTTCCCGATACTGGACGACCTAAGGACATTGATAATCGGGAATATTTATGGACATATATTAACATTTATGGACAGTGGTCATCCTGCTCCCTATGGTCTAAAGGCTTCAATCTGTTATTTCCTGTATGACTGTTTGATTCTCTGATTTGTTGTTGGCAAATCTAGCACTTTAAAGTCCTCCGAGGTGATTTAGGGCTATGCACAAATACATTGAATTGAAGTGAATTGAACTGTATGAAAAAAAGTTGACATTGACATTAGTAAACAGTATGATTGAATATTCTCAAGATCATGATGAAGGGACACATGAGGAGGGACATTTGCTCTGGAGGTAAAATGCTTTTGGCAGTTTATCACGTGTGGCTGGTCCCATGACACAAACACTGGACCAGCTTTTCAGAAAGGTGAAAACAAAGAGACAAAAGAGACAGAACCGCGTGGAAAGGCCTGGAGCAGAGGAGGCCAAGACTCTCTCAGCTGCACAAACTACAGGTGATATCTGTGAAGCTGAGAAGTGAGGTACCCCAGCTTTAAACGCCTTCAGCAGGTCTTGAAGGCTGCTGCTCACTTGTTCACAGAGACACATAAGAGAGAGCACATTACCCCTGTGCTGACCTCACTTCACTGGCTGGTTCTGATGATTGTTTTTTAATGTTTAAATGGTTTCGCTCCTGAACGTCTACTGTGATCTTTCTCTGGTTTCTCTCTGGTCTCTCTTTAATATCTCTTTGGTATCTCTTTGGTCTCTCTTTGGTCTCTCTCTGGTCTCTCTCTGGTCTCTCTCTGGTCTCTCTCTCTGGTCTCTCTCCCTGGTCTCTCTTTGGTCTCTCTCTGGTCTCTCTCTCTGGTCTATCTCTGGTCTCTCTCTGATCTCTCTTTGGTATCTCTTTGGTCTCTCTCTGGTCTCTCTCTGGTCTCTCTCTCTGGTCTCTCTCCCTGGTCTCTCTCTGGTCTCTCTCTGGTCTCTCTTTGGTCTCTCTCTGGTCTCTCTCTGGTCTCTCTCTCTGGTCTCTCTCTGGTCTCTCTCTCTGGTCTCTCTCTCTGGTCTCTCTCTGATCTCTATTTGGTCTCTCTCTGGTCTCTCTTTCTGGTCTCTCTCTGGTCTCTCTTTGGTCTCTCTCTGGTCTCTCTTTGGTCTCTCTCTGGTCTCTCTTTGGTCTCTCTCTGGTCTCTCTCTGGTCTCTCTCTCTGGTCTCTCTCTGGTCTCTCTCTGATCTCTCTCTGATCTCTATTTGGTCTCTCTCTGGTCTCTCTTTCTGATCTCTCTCTTTGGTCTCTCTATGGTCTCTCTCTGGTCTCTCTCTCTGGTCTCTCTCTCTGGTCTCTCTCTGGTCTCTCTCTGGTCTCTCTCTGGTCTCTCTTTGGTCTCTCTCTGGTCTCTCTCTGGTCTCTCTCTGGTCTCTCTCTCTGGTCTCTCTCTGGTCTCTCTCTGGTCTCTCTCTGGTCTCTCTGGTCTCTCTTTGATTTCTCTTTGGTCTCTCTCTGGTCTCTCTTTCTGATCTCTATCTTTGGTCTCTCTCTGGTCTCTCTTTCTGATCTCTATCTTTGGTCTCTCTCTGGTCTCTCTGGTCTCTCTTTGATTTCTCTTTGGTCTCTCTCTGGTCTCTCTTTCTGATCTCTATCTTTGGTCTCTCTCTGGTCTCTCTTTCTGATCTCTATCTTTGGTCTCTCTCTGGTCTCTCTCTCTGGTCTCTCTCTGGTCTCTCTCTGATCTCTCTCTGATCTCTATTTGGTCTCTCTTTGGTCTCTCACTGGTGTCTCTCCCTGGTTTCTCTGTGGTCTGGCTCTTTGCTGTTGCTGCTCTCAAACAGTGGAATAAACGTTTACATTGAGGTCACCTTGAGGTACTGTGGTGATGGCGGCGCATACACACAGCTGTTCATGATGTAAGTGCGACAGCTGAGCTTGGCTCCTCTGCTCCTCACGACCAGCTCCACGGGACTGTAGGCCCCCAGCGTCACGTTCTCCTGCCTGTAACAGAAGGTTCATGTCAGCGCCACCTACAGCCAAGAGACAGAATTAGACTCTGTCGGAGTTCCCTGCTTGCTTTGCAATGTCTCATTTGAATCAGCCCTCTACAGTCAGCTCTGATTGGTCAGAACAGTACAATCGGTCTGTACCCTAACCCAGAGCCAAAATGTGTCACTCACTACTGCTGATATTTGGGACATCCATGGTGCGAGCATGTGCCAATCTGCATAGCTCATTGATTAGACTTGGGCGGACATCTTGGATAACCGGGGCTTGTTATAGGCCCAGGGGTCAGGACCCAGATCACCACCACCTACAGCTGTGAGAATGAGATACTGCTGTGAGCCGCAACTACAGATACTTTATCAAGCAATCTTCAAAGCCAATCAAATTCCAAGTAGTTTCCATGACTTTCTATTATATCTTATCACCACCTCTCTGGTGTCTATCTCTGGTGTGTCTCTCGTTCAGGGGTCTCCAAATCCAAGGTCTAGTCTCTTTTGGGCTCTCTCTCTGGTACAACTCTCTGGTCCCACTCTGGTCTCTCTGTAGCCAGACAAAGTGTGTGTGGCATTGATGGTGCAAACTCACATGTCCAGAGAGTCCAGGTCGTTGAGGCTCATCCTCCACACCACCCCCCACACCTCCTCCCCCGGGCTGCGCTCGATCGTGGCCACGCCCCCATGCCAGCGCTCGCTCGCCATGCCGCGGTGGTTACCGAAGACCAGCCGATAGTCCTGCACCAGAGAGGAAAACCTGCGTAAGCCTGAACCAGAGGAAAACCTGCTTCCCAGATCTCCCAGACCAGACAGTAGAGAGGCTGTGTCCAAAGTGAAACCAGATATTTTTAATATCTCATTTCTCATGTCTCATTTAATTATATATTGAACAAGACTCTGTGAAAACCAGTCTGTTTGGTGTGACTGGATGGGACGATTTCTAGTGTGTTTTTACGCAGTACTAAGACATAAGACAATGCCAGCAGATGCATTTAAGAGCACAAGAATAAGCCATGCTTGTATTAGAAATGTACGCAGTGATACCTGTAAAACCCTCACATACAATTTATACACTTCTCTAACAACCTGCACACACGACTGCTGGAGTGTGATCCCGGAGATATCAAATCTGTTGGTTTTAGGTCTGCGTGCTGCTGCAGCTGTCAAAAGCTGTTCATACACTGTTGAATACAGCTGCAGAGGACACTAAAGGGCAGGAGCAGGACTGAGGACTATAGACCAGACACAGAACACAAAGAGAACAGAGACACCAGAGAAACAAGAGAGAGACCAGAGAAAGATAGCAGAGAGAGACAAGAATGAGACCCAAGAGAGCCACAAAACGATTTTTTCTGACTTTAAATATGAACTCTTATGTTATAGTAGTGGTGTTGGACGGCACAGTACCAAAAACCCACAAAATTCCACATAAAAAAAAATCTATGAAAGGTGAAGCGCGTTATTGTGAGTGACATGATCGTTTCCATAGTTACGCAGGGTAAATCCATGGTCTAAATAAACAACCATCATTTCTCTATCAGTCACGGCCTGTAGCTAGCAACCGAAGACAACGGCGCTCACAGCTGGATTCATGTCCAATTATGGAACAAATCCAACTAGTATTCAAGCGTGTGTGGACTATAATTAACAAAGGATTCTTTTCCCCTCTGTAACTATGGAAACGGCCACGTCCTGAATAGTTGTGTTTTAATGGAAATATAGGCCACTCCCTCATTATGATCATAGTGATGGATTACAGTTTCTCTGCATGTGTTTCATTGTTTTGTTTTTGTCTTTCCCTCCCTGATCTCTCTCTCTGGTCTCTCTCTTGTCTCTCTCTGGTCTCTCTCTCTGGTCTCACTCTGGTCTCTCTCTCTCTCCTCTGGTCTCTCTCTTGTCTCTCTCTGGTCTCTCTCTCTGGTCTCACTCTGGTCTCTCTCTCTCTCCTCTGGTCTCTCTCTGGTCTCTCTCTCTGGTCTCACTCTGGTCTCTCTCTGGTCTCTCTTTCTAGTCTCTCGCTCTCTGTTCTCTCTCTGGTATGTCTCTGGTATCTCTTTCTGGTCTCTCTGATCTCTCTGGTCTCTCTCTCCTGTCTCTCTCTCTGGTCTCTCTCTGGTATCTCTCTCAGGTCTCTCTGGTCTCACTCTGGTCTCTCTCTCTCTAGTCTCTCCTCTGGTCTCTCTCTGGTCTCTCTTTCTAGTCTCTCGCTCTCTGTTCCCTCTCTGGTATGTCTCTGGTATCTCTTTCTGGTCTCTCTGATCTCTCTGGTATCTCTCTCTACGGTTTCGCTCTCTGGTCCCTCTCTCTGGTCTCTCTCTGGTCTCTCTCTCTAGTCTCTCTCTATTCTCTCTCTCTCTCTCTCTCTGGTCTCTCTCTGGTCCCTCTCTCTGGTCTCTCTCCCTGGTCTCTCCATCTGGTTTCTCTCTGGTCGCTCTCGTTCATTATGACCTTTTCAACAGTAATCTCGAACCCTCTAAAGGACCCTTTACATAGATGTGGATTTGAACATAAACTAGTTGGAGCCACTTTACTTATATGGGCATTTATTCCGCAGCGTTATGTTTTGCCTTGTAACAGGAACAGATGTGTTAAGCTGGAGTTTCCCCCGCAAATGGCAAATGGCGCAAATGGCATCTGATTGGTCAATCCATATATGGCTCATACTGTATCTGGATTTACAGAGAGAATACTAGAACATAAACACCAGCATCATAGAGAGCAGTGTGAAATGGTGAATGTGACACAAATAGTTACTGGAGGAGGAGTCAATAGGAGCCAGAGTGAGTTGGATCAAAACTTCACCATGAGCACTTCCCTATTGGGCTTCATTAAGCTAGCATGATGGCATTAATCTTTATACAGTGTATGATCTAAACACAACTACAGGTCTGTTTGTGTTGTTTTTTCTCTAATCTCTTTCTGGTCTTTCTCTAGTCTCTCTGTCTCTGGTTTCCTCTAGTCTTTCTCTCTGGTATCTAGTCTCTCTCTGGTCTTTCTCTGGTCTGTCTCTGGTCTTTCTCTAGTCTCTCTGGTCTTTCTCTAGTCTCTCTGGTCTTTCTCTAGTCTCTCTCTGGTCTTTCTCTAGTCTGTCTCTGGTCTTTCTCTAGTCTCTCTGGTCTTTCTCTAGTCTCTCTGGTCTTTCTCTAGTCTCTCTCTGGTCTTTCTCTAGTCTCTCTCTGGTCTCTCTCTGGTCTTTCTCTAGTCTCTCTCTGGTCTCTCTCTGGTCTTTCTCTAGTCTCTCTAGTCTCTCTAGTCTCTCTCTGGTCTTTCTCTGGTCAGTTGAATGTTGTCTCCTCTGTGTAGTTGAGTGTTCTGAGCTTCACCTGGAGTCGGGCCACACAGTGCACAGCAGCAGACGGGTTCTTCAGCTGCAGACGCTCCTTCAGCAGGTTACTGCCGTAGGCGAAGTACAGGAAGGTGCTGGAGGTCTCCATGAGGTCCACTGAGATCCAGAAGCCAGAGCGCAGTGTGAGAGCAGGGGGCAGGACAGAGGAGGACCAGGGGCCAGGGGTACCACTCATTCACATGTAAATGCACCGGTTCTGGTCACACGCCAGGACACGTGGGGACACTAAACTACAATAGGTGTCCATGTGACATCACAGCTTTCCAAAGAGCCTATAGTTAAACATTGTGGTGGAGGACAGCAGTAACCTCATTACTGATAACTATGGTGACTGTGGTATGTGTAAAAAGTCCGATTTTATTCTGAGTTAACTACTTTCTTTGTAATTCCTTGATGACAAAGAAATTAGCCCTGGTTCTAACCTGGTCGAGCTGGTACTAGAGTTTTGACGACAGTGATGGGGCAGAGAACTGATGGTAGCCATGGTTACCAAGTAATTTGGACGCTGTTTTCTGTGGGTAGGTTGCTAGGATACGGTACGAGACTAAAGCATAATGGAAATGGAAATGGAGAGCTTGAACACATGAATACACACACACACACACGCACGCACGCACGCACGCGCACACACACACACACACTCTTACAAAGTCTTCATTCAGATTTGTCCATTTTTTACAAGTTGAAAGAAAAACTGATTGAAAAAATTCTGAATGAAGACCTTGATACACCTTGAGTGTAGAGATGTGTGTGGCAAGTCAAATTGTGTGTATGTGTGTGTTTTCATGTCTAATTGTATTGTTTGTTGAGCATGTTTGCCAGCCTCCAAACAGTAACTTAAATAATTTGGTTCAGAAATATCAGTTATACGCAAGTAATCTGTCAAATTACAAAATACATAAAAAAATTAAAGACAAATAATTATTTTATTATCCGCCAGAGCAGATATTACTGTTTAAAGTACGGCCAGTAAACGCCATCACTCTTATCAGACCATCCCGCCGTCCCCGCAAACACACATTACTGGAAACACATATTTGAAAAACTTCAGAAAGAAATTCCAAATGACTCCAGTGAAGTTTCTGAGGAGACGTTTATACCAGAAGCCAGAGCCTGAGGGTTCTGTCCACTCCACCCAGACTGACGTTAACAGGTACAGTCTGTTTCCTCTTCAGTAGATTATTGGCAGACTACAATAGAAAGTGCTCTATGTCGCCACCTACTGACGACTGTACAGTTTATAACTATGACAGACAAAATAATGCAAATTAAATGTATCGCTCTTATGGCCAACTCATGATATGATTAAAATCTCTACGTCAGTGTAATATCTCCAGGGTGTAGCTTGAAAATAATAAAAACCCAATGAACCCTTGCTTCCAATCCACTTTATTTGTATAGCACATCTTATAAACAAACAGTTTCAAAAGTGCGTTACATAGATACAAAATAATATTCACTCACACGACAGCCAGGTTTGATAATCAAGTAACAGTGAATTCAAAATGTAAATAAATCATAAACAAGCCCCCTCACCTGAAAATGAAATCATAAATGCAATCCTGACTTATCATTAGGAAAACACATCTGTTCAAAATACCAAACATTTTGTGTGATGGAAAACACTGAGACACACACTTGAAAACACTGACTTACAAAACACGACACACATCAGACACAAACAGGCCTCAGATCCTGGCCTCACACTGAGGGAAGAAGAGAGTCACAGCTCCATCATCAGGACCTTCAGATGGAAACATGTCTCCAACTCTCTACTGCAGACTGTATCTACAGTATTTACAGTACTGTATCACATGTACTGTACTGCAAGTTGGATTTTGCTCCTTTTGAACAAAAATTGTTTTGTGAAACACACAATACAGTAAAGATCATAGTACTGAGATGTTACAGTATACTGTACTGTAAAAAACTAAACCTTTAGTAACAATTTGTGGTTGCATATTTCTACAGAATGACTAGAAGAACATCTCAAGGAGGAGGTGGTCGGCAACTGTTCACCAACAGCAGGAACAGTCCGAGCATGAACCATGATCCATATCCACACACGCACAACTGCGTGGATTTACATTAGAGATGTTTTGTGTTCTACATTGACACAAATGCAGTTAAGTATACTGTAGTACTGTGATGTACAGTATACTGTAGTACTGTGATGTACAGTATACTGTAGTACTGTGTTGTACAGTATACTGTAGTACTGTGATGTACAGTATACTGTAGTACTGTGTTGTACAGTATACTGTAGTACTGTGTTGTACAGTATACTGTAGTACTGTGATGTACAGTATACTGTAGTACTGTGTTGTACAGTATACTGTAGTACTGTGTTGTACAGTATACTGTAGTACTATGATGTACAGTATACTGTAGTACTGTGTTGTACAGTATACTGTAGTACTGTGTTGTACATCATACTGTAGTACTGTGATGTACAGTATACTGTAGTACTGTGATGTACAGTATACTGTAGTACTGTGTTGTACAGTATACTGTAGTACTGTGTTGTACAGTATACTGTAGTACTGTGTTGTACAGTATTGAGTTTATGTTATTTGTAACCTTTCAGTACTTCCTGGTTTCTGATAAACCTTTGTTGGGAACAAAACAGTTCCATTGAGCTTCACAGAAAAACAGTGGAAAAAAAATAACTGCAGTGTTTTATATAAAGTACTGTGGTGTGTTGCTTTCAATCTGAAAGTGTGTTCACATTATGAAAGTGTGTATCTTTTTGTTCTCAGAGTTTCATTTTAACAAATTATTTTGATAGTTTCATTTTGACCCAGATGTGAGCGGTTTATGTCCCAGTGTGTATCAGATTATCTTGTGTGTAGAGTTTTGGGACAATGAGCAACATTTTGAAAAATGTGTTCAAGCAACTAATATTAATACATGTGTTTTATATGGGGGGGGGGGGGGGGGGGGGGGTTTGGACACTTACCTCACATGGCACTATTCATTCGACAACACAAAGTTAATAAAGGAATACAGGATTATCCCACATTTTTAGGACAGAACCGCCCTCTCCTCTTTTTGAACAACTCTCTGGTCTTACTTGACGAGCATGTATCAACAGAATGATTGACAATTAGGAGGACCAATAGCCTTGATGATCCACTCCGAGGTAGATATTCCTCCAATATACAGTACCTTTAGCCCAGCGACTGAGAGCCTCTGTAGCACACGGTAGACCCTTCACTGCATTCAAATCCACGCCCACTTTTCATTTAAAACGAGAGTTCCACCAATGTTATTTTTGTTTGATCATAAAACATTAAGGCCATACAGAGACATCAAAGCTAAATGTGTCTCCTCTCTTTTCCCTTTACAAACCCCAATCCTGCTTTTGTCATTAGACCAACTATTGCTTGAACTGCATAATGAGACAACATTCAACTGACCAGAGAAAGACCAGAGAGAGACCAGAGACTGAGACTAGAGACTGAGACTAGAGAAACACCAGAGAGTTTTGTAGCATTGACTCATAAATGCACATGTAAGGATATGTGGGAGCGTTTTCTGCTGCTGGAAACCTGGATTTCTCCTAACAGGGATCAATAAAGTATCTATCTATCTATTCATGACCCCCAATGAAGGCATCCGATTGGTCAGTCATTAGGGCCATGTCTGGATTTAGAAAGACAAGATCAAATCAGGGGCGACAGTAGCTCAGTTGGTAGAGCGTTCAATTCCCACCTCTACACCTTCTCCACCGACTCCCACTGATGACTGCTGTCGTTGTGTCCTTGGGCAAGACACTTAACCCCACTTTGCCCAAAGCCCCCACTGAAAGATCAAGGCTATGCTCACACTCAGAGAGCAGCCGTCCTCCTGTGGACTCACCACCTGCAGAGGGTCAGTGAGGGGCTGGTGCTATGAGACTTGGGTGGCATCTCTGACTGCCACCCCCCTGACCCAGAAATGGATTAAAGGGTAGAAAATGGATGGATGGATGGAAGATCAAATCAAAAACACCAGGATCATCAGCAGAGTTTCCAATGGCCCTGTTTAGCTGGTACCAGGAACTTTTTCAGTCCCTCGTGGCCCTGGTTCTCATTTATCGGACAGAGTAATAAGCAAAAACGGCTCCGTGCATGTTGTCATAGTTTGAGGATTCATCGTAGTGTAATGAGTTTGACAACAGAGCATTTGGACAGAAGGGGATGTTTGTGCCAGAAGTTCCTGCGTGGATGGAGCTAAACACAACAACAGGTCTGTTGTTGATGAGGAACAAAGCTGTGGTCTTTTTTTTGACTTTTTTTAAATGAATGTATCCATATCTAGATTATCTTCTCGGTCATTGTTTTAATAAATTAATCTTTTACTTTTGAAATGTGAGTTGTTCTACCTTTAACTTTCAGAGCATTGATTTTCCACAAGAGATGAGAAAGTGCTGGTTACCATAGCAACACTGTTTAGCAACCATAGCAACTGATTCTGTATTTCAAGTTATATTCACCGGTTTTATCACTTACTAAAAGTGTATAAAGGTTTAAAATAAAAATAAAAATAAAAGCATAAATTACTAGATTTGTCCATGTTTTACTAGTTTTGTGCGTACATTATCTGTGTAAAAACACTTTGGTAAAAACATGGAATAATACTGAGTGAAGACTTTGTAAATGTGTGGAAATGTGCGTGGCAAGACAAAAAGTGTGTGTTCATGTCTTATTGTGTGTATTGAAGAGTCAGACAGCCTCCAAACAGTCACTAAAATCCTTCATGATCGATCAATCTTTCGGGCTCTTCTGGATTTAGAAAGACAATGTCAGAACTAAAACACAAGGATCATTAAATTACTTAATAGTTATGAATAATAAATAGGTGAAAAACTATACATTTATTTTGAGAATTCCTAGTTCTAGTGTTAACTAAGGTGAGTCTGTAGGTGGCGCTGCATCATAGACCTCTGTGTGAAGCCTTTGGCGCAGACTGAGCAGCTGAAGGGTTTCTCCCCTGTGTGAGCTCTCAAGTGTTTGTACAACTCACTGGAAAAGTTAAAAACCTTGGAACAAATGGTGCAGCTGTACGGTCCGTGTGTCTGGTCCCTCTGCGGTGAGGGAGTTTTTAGATTTACACTTTCCTCTGCAGTTTTTCCATCATTCTTAACATCCATCGACCTTTCCAGAAACGTACCCTCGGACTTGAGCTCGTCTC